AACTCAGCCTTGTATAATCAGGACTGTGTGGCACTTCAGGGAAGGCTTCTCATTACGTGATTATCAAGGTAGATATTTGTTTTTATGTTTCCACTGCCAGGTGCCAGATGTGACATCCAGATGACCCAGACTCCATCCTCCCTGTCTGCATCTCCAGGAGACACAGTGACCATCAATTGCAGGGCCAGTCAGAACATTAACAAGTATTTAGCCTGGTTTCAGCAGAAACACGGGAAACCTCCTAAGCGGCTGATCTATGGCACATCCAATTTGGACTCTGCGTTCCCATCCAGGTTCAGTGGCAGTGGATCTGGAACAGATTATTCTCTTACCATCAGCAGCCTGCAGCCTGAAGATGGGGCAACTTATTTCTGTACACAGGGTTATAGTTATCCTTCCACAGTGATACAAGTCATAACAGAAACCTCCCAGGGAAGCAGAAGTGAGAGGCTGGGCTGCCCCAGCTGCTCCTGCAGCCTCTACCTGCTGACAGTGCTTCTCAGATTCATCTCTGAGGGTCGCTTGAAATTTTGGTAGAAGTGACTGGGAAGAATTCTCTCTACTCTACCTTTCAGTCAGGAGTAGACAGAGTTTATGTATGTCAATGCTTCTCCTGATTCAGTAGAGCCCACAAACTGTGGCATGGGATGAGTCTGTGAGAGCATTAATTTGGGTTCATTTGTAAAGTAGAAAGAAGCCAGCTAATCGAAGTTGGTTATTTTTAATACACGAAATTTATTCTGAGCTATTGCCATTCCAAGACTGGGATATGTTATTCATTAAAGCTAAGCAGAGAAATATTCCTTCAGACCCCAGATCATCTACCTGTGAAGATGGAGGTCTCCTCACCAAGGTCCTTGTCCTGTCTAGACACCCAGGGGAGGTGTCAAATCTGCTTCTATACCCCAGCAGGTGACCTCGAATCCTCCCCTCTGCCCCACAGTCTGCCTGCAGGTTTCAGCGCATTCTAAAACAGATTCTTTTTGAGGTTCATTTTTTTCCCTATGATTAAACGCTTTACTGTGTTTTAAGTGCCTTGCTGAGCATTTGTGGCTCACGCCTGTAATCCTAGCTACTCTGGAAGTAGAGATTTGAGGATTATGGTTCAAAATCAGCCAGAGAAAGAAAGTCTATGAGACTCTTATCTCCAATAAACCACTAGAAAACCGGAAGGGCCACTGTGGCTCAAGCTGTAGAGCACTCTCCTTGATCTGAAGAGTGCAGGGACAGAGCCCAGGCCCAGATTTCAATCAGAGATCAGTGAAGTACTTTTCTTTTTTATGTATTTTTATAGTAAAGATACTGTACAGAGGGGTTACAGTTATATGAGTAAGGTCATGAGTCCATTTCCTATCAAGCATTCTTACCCCTCCTTTGTTTTTTCCCCTACCATCCCTTTCCTCCTCACCTACCCAACTCCCCTCTCCCCACACAATGTTGTAAAGTTTTCAACATTTTGCCCTGTACATCTCACTGTTACAGTGAGTTAACCTGTATCCTTATTTCAGCATTTTGTTGTTTCCCTTCCCCTCCCAGAATTACAGAAGTATATATACAAGACACAGGCACCAGAATCAAATATAGTGAAAACAGGGGTCATACCATGGGGGAAGACCATGCAAAAGAAACAAAAAAATATCATATAGTACATTATAAGTACATTGAAAACAACAGCAGGAAAGATAAAATCTCTTGTGTCCCTATCTTGGAGTTCATTTTGATTAGCATCAGCACCTTTCACAGTGATATGAGCCATACCATAAACCTTCAGTGAAGCAGAAATGAGCTACCCCAAATGCTCCTCCTGTGCCTCCACCAGCTACCACAGCTTCTAATATGCAACCTGGCTCTGAACACTGTTGCAAGCTTTTGATTGAATTTTCTTCAAATGATCCTCTGCATCTCCATCTCTTTCTCCTCCTCTGCCCCAGAAACATGCCATTGAATCTTCTGATATGAAGGCATCCTTTGGTATTCACACAGTAAAATTTAAGCCAGCCATGATTCTCCAAGCAGGAAGTGTTTAAATACAGGAAATGAGTCTCATCACTAGCTTCCTAACTCCTGAGGTAACCAGTGAAGTTGGAACTAGGAGTGTGGGATTCTATGATTTCATGAAGCTGCCCTAGGGTCTGGGCTGCATAATCCTGTGATTCTCTACTTGTAGAAAAGCAATGGGAGGCAGCTGATGCTCTCACCTGCCCCAGCAACCTCTCAAGGTGATGCTGTAGGCCTCAGAACTGAGGTGTCAGCCTGCTTATGTCAATAAATACCAAGGTCTTTCCTGTTTTTCAAATATAATGAAAGGACCCCATGTGATGCAACTTTCAGGAAACCAGAGATGGGATAAGGATTTCAAAAATGGGCTTCCACAAGCAATGCTAATAATCATAAGGATGGATTGAGATACCTGACAATCCAGAATTGTTTCTTTTTCCATACTCTTAGAAATATTCCACCTAAGTGCAGGCCCTAGAATTCACTTCCATTTGCTTCTAAGTTTTGTCTGCCAATCTGGGATCATAGGGGAAAAAAACTTAATTACGTCTTGGGGGAAACTACTAGAAGTTGGGAATTGTGTTGTTCATAATGCTACACAGCAGCAATAAGCGATTGAAAGAACTTTCTTATATTTTTATTTTCTATTTTTTCCCCAGTCATGTGGCTTGCATTCTGTGCCTGGGTGCTATCTCTGAGCTCCTTTTGCTTGAGGCTAGTGCTCTACCACTTGAGACACAACACCACTTCCAACCTTTTATGTGATAAATTGAAGATAAGAGTCTTACAGAATTTCCTGCACTGGCTGGCTTTGAACCATGATCCTCAGATCTCAGCTTCCAGTGTAGCTATGATTACAGGTGGGAGGCTCCAGTGCTCAGCAAAAGATTATTTGTTTGTTTGCTTGTTTGTTTGTTTAATTTGCTGGTCCTGAGGCTTGAACTCTTGGCCTGAGTGCTGTCCTAGAGTTCCTTTTATCAGGGCTATCAGTCTACCACTTGAGTCACATCATCACCCCAGAATGAACTTTCTTAATAAATACCACAATGTATAAAAATGGAAAACAAATAACTTAGTTTAAAAATTATTTTCCTGGGCTGGGAATGTGGTTTAGTGGTAGAGTGCTTGCCTCATATTTGTTTGATTCCTCAATACGACATACACAGAAAAAGCCAGAACTGGCACTGTGGCTCAAGTGGTAGAGTGCTAGCCTTGAGCAAAAATGAAGATCAGAGACAGCATGCAGACCCTGAGTTCACACCCTAGTACTGGCACAAATACATGTGCGTATATACACACACACACAGAGACATACACACACATACACACAAACACACACATACTCATTTGCCTACTGATATGCAGAAACATTTACATTTGATGCAGTCCCATGTGTCATTTCTTGCCCATATTTCCTGGGCAACAGGAGTCCTGTTTATGAATAACTACCTGTGCCTTTATCTTCAAGGACTTTTTCCTATAGTAGTTGCAAAGTTTCACATCTCACATTAATAACTTTGATCCATTTTGGATTGATTTTTTTCATGGTGAGATAAGAGAAGTAGAAACAGTCTTCTATATGTACTCATCCATGTTCCCATCACCAAGTTTTTATGAGACTCTCTTTTCTCACATGTATGTTTTAAAGCTGGTATAGATTTGTGGGTTTATTTCTAGGAGGGTCTTCTTTTCTGTTCCACTGGTCTCCAGGTACCTTAAGCTTGTCTGCAAATAGAATTCTGGTGAAATGAATCCCAGTGAAATGACTTTCCAGGTGTCCCTCTTTGAGCTTGTTACCTGGAGGAGATCTTTTCTCAAGGGATAGTTTTCCCCATGAGTTCACTCTTTCATGATCTTGCAGCCTTTCCATGGGTTTTTAGACAATTCCTCAGATGCTCTCAGTGTGTATTTCCCATTGCCCTGCCACAAAACTTCGTGTTAATGGTAATAATCCTTCAAATTGTTTCAAATTGTCATCTTCCTTATCTCTCTCAATCAAAGTACTTGGCCTTGCAGTTATGAGCCACTATACCCAACATAGATACATTATTAAAGTCCAAAAATATAAGGCAAAATTCTATATTATATTGAAGGTGATTTCCATACTTTCCTCTTCCAGTCAGTATGGACCTTTAATGATCTACCTCTAGAACGTTTCCAGAAAACTATTTCCACCTTCAGTTTGACCACAAGCATCAGAAGCTAAGCCTTTGCTCTTCCTAAGGTGCTCTTTAAAGATTACTAAATATTATGACTTCCTAATTCTTACATCATTCTAGCCTTTGGTAAGTCAGTCAAATAAGTGAATATTAGTGATATAAGCAAGACCTTATACTTATAATTGTATGAGTATATATAATTATAATTATACAATTATAATTGTATGTGGAAGGAATTGGGAAAGGAGAAACTTTGAAATTTTAGTGCTATCCAGAACCTGCTTTTCAGAGTCCTCAGCAATGAGCAAGACACACAATAAACCTAAAATTTACACACTTGATCATCATGTCCTCCTTATGTGTCTAAGAAGATATGCTGGCTTAGAGTAGACTCTGGATGAAGGACATTTGCTGACCTTCCTCATGACTGGTGAGAACAGCAGGGAAGTTAGCCAGCTGCACAGACCAAGCAAAACTCTTAGCTCCTGATGACTCAGTCTCACCACCTGGTCTTCGTCTTTTGTCTGGGTTCAATTCCAGTGAGTGGTGAGCATTTTCCTTCACTGAATCCAAAGCTACCAATGGACAGGACCTTTGCTACCCCATTTTCTCAGGTCTATCACTCTGGAGGGGGACTGCTTCTTTTATAGCCCAGAGCAAGAATGCCAGCCCTGGATAGACAGTCCTGATCCAAATCTCTCCAGTTTCTTCCAGTGTCTGAAAGTTGAGGTCAGCTTTCACATCTCCACACTCAGGGAAACCACATGAATAATTACAAAAATGACTTTGGGGCCTGACTTGTTCCTCCCCCACCACAGTAAAGGGGTCCATGGTTTCTGCCTTCTTCATCCTACTTGGATGCATTGTGAGGTATTACTAAGATTCTGAGTTCCTAGACTCTGGGATGTACATGATGAAGGCAAAGATGTCTCCTCTTGCTATTAAACTGGGCTGAACTGTCCAATGAAATGGCATTATATGATATCTGATTAATCAAATTTCTATCCATTTTTTTTACTTTTTTTTTGGGTCCGGTCGTGGGGCCTGAACTCTGGACCTGGGTGCTGTCCCTCAGCTCTTCAGCTCAAGGCTAGCGCTCTACCACTTGAGCCACAGCACCACTTCTGGCTTTTTTCTTTTTGCTTATGTGGTGCTGAGGAATCGAACCCAGGGCCTCAGGCATGCAAGGCAAGCGCTCTACCACTGAGCCAACTTCCCAGCCAAATTTCTATCCATTTTTATCCAAGATGTTTCTTCAGGGACATTTTTACTGGTTTGGGAAGAGATCAAGAGTTTCTCCTAAAGATGCAAACAGCCATACTGGTTTCTTGGCAGCCATGATGTTTCTACTCATTGGGAAAAGATAAAAATACATGGATATGGGGCTGGGAAGGTGGCTCAGTGGTAGAGTGCTTAACTTGCATGGGTTCAATTCCTCAGCATCACATAAGCAAAAAGGAAAAAGCCAGAAGTGACGGTGTGGCTCAAGTGGTAGGGCGCTAGCTTTGAGCTGAAGAGCTGAGGGACAGCACCCAGGCCCAGAGTTCAGGCACCACGAGCAGACTCCACCCAAAAAAAGGCAGTATTCATGTCCAACTGTGAGTAGTACTATCAAATGTCACAAAGGTGACAACATATGAGAGGTTTCAGATTAGGAGAAAGTACAGTCTATTTAGATACTAGAGATAGAAGACACATAAAATTTCCTAGAAGAGAATCACAAGAGCTCAATAATTATGTACATATGATGCTAAGTGAGGCTGAGCAGGTGGCTCAGTGGTAGAGTGTTTCCCGTGCATGCATGAAGTTCGATTCCTCAGCACCACATAAGCAAAAAAAGCCAGAAGTGGCGGTGTGGCTCAAGTGGTAGAGTGGTAGCCTTGAGCTGAAGAGCTAAGGGACAGTGCCCAGGCCCAGAGTTCAGGCTCCATGGCCGAAAAAACAACAACAACAAAAAAGATGATGCTAAGTGAAATGTGCTCCACGATATGGAAACAAGAGGTTTTTCTTTGTTGTTGTTTTGGTTCTTAATGTACTATGTGAAGTTATTTCTTTTTCTGGCATTTTTCTCTTTTTCCCCCTATGGTTTGATTTTGGTACAATGTATTGTATATGCATTTATCTGAATAGCCAAGGGACAGGGAGCAACAAAATGGTGAGACAAAGGACAAAAGGTGAACCAATGCAGCAGCAATATTCACAAGACAACAGGGGATGTGGGGAGACGTGAAAGTGGGAGAAAAGCTAGAGAGGGAATGACAATGTTTGACAAGAAGTGCACTCACTCCCTTACATCTGTAACTGTAACCCCTCTGTACATCACCTTGACAAAAAAATTAAATTTAAAAATGACTTGCTTAAACTTACATGCTAATGGTCATAACTAAAACTACCACAAAATACTTTTCAATAGGTTCAGTATGTTTCATATTATCTTGTTCTTTAAAGAAATTAAACAGCTTGACACCTCATGCTTGTAATTCTTGCTACTCAGTAGGCTGAGATCCAAGGAGTACAATTTGAAGCCAGCCCAGACAGTTAAGTCCATGAGATCCTTAATTTCCCATTAATCAGGGAAAATCTAGAAATGGACCTGTGGCTCGAGTGGTATAGCAGAGTGGTAGCCTTGAGCACAAAATATGAGGGACAGTATTCTTAAGTCTTATTCTTAAGTACATGTCCCTACATACATACACACAGAAGTGAAACATTTTAATTTTAGTTAGGTGCCCATGGCTAATACCTGTCATCCTACCTACTCATGAGTGTGAGGTCTGAGAATGGCTCTTCAAGGACAGCATGCACAAGAAATTTCATGCGACTTTTTTTCTAATTAACCACCAAAAAACCAGAAACAGAAGTGTGGATCATGTGGTAGATCATTATCTTGAGAGAAATAGCTAAGAAACAGCACCCAGACCTGAGTTCAAGCCCCAAGTACAAAAAACAAAGGAAAATCAAAGAAAGAAAGAAGAAAGAACTGAAAGAGGAAAAAGAATGAAAGAAAGAAAGAAGGAAAGAAAGAAAAAAAGAAAGAGAATGAGATAGAAAAATGCAGGAGGGAGGGAGGAAAAAGGAAGGAAAATAAAGAAAGAAGAAAGAAAAAAAGAGGGAGAGGAAAGAAGGAAGGAAGAGAAAGGAAGAAAGAGAGGAGAAAGAAAGAAAGAAAGAAAGAAAGAAAATAATTTTTAAGGTATAAGCACTTGGTAAAAAGAACACAAGATAATTTTTTTCCAGTAAGAATTACTGAGTGAATTAAAGATCTAAAAAGACACAAGACTATGGTCCAATATATTTTTCAAATATGTTGTTTTATACTAGTTGCTTCTGAGCATCATACATTTAGAAAATAATCTTAAAAATGTCTGCTACAGTCAAAAGATCACCAGCGAGAAACATATGCTCTGCAGACAAATTTATATTTTTTTTGAATGGTCTGGGACATCTGTGGAGGCAAGGCCTGTGATGAGAGAGGAGCCAATCCTGCAGCTGAGCCCGCCCTCCCCACCCTGCTGATTTGCATGTGCCCATAGCTCAGCCTACTGACCACAACAGTGGACTGCTCTTAAAGGCTGTTTTCACCTTGTGTAGAACTCAGTCCCAGTCAGCACACAGCATGGACATGAGGGCCCCTGCTCAGCTCCTGGGGCTTCTGCTGCTCTGGCTCCCAGGTAAGAAAGGGCAGTACTGGGATTAACTCAGCTTTGTGCATCAGGGCTGACTGGCACTTCAGGGAATTCCTCTTTTAACATGATTATCAAGGTAGATATTTGTGTTTATGTTTCCACTGCCAGGTGCCAAATGTGACATCCAGATGACCCAGACTCCATCCTCCCTGTCTGCCTCTCCAGGAGACACAGTCACCATCAATTGCAGGGCCAGTCAGGGCATTAACAAGTATTTAGCCTGGTTTCAGCAGAAACCAGGGAAAGCTCCTAAGCAGCTGATATATAGAGCATCCAATTTAGAATCAGGTGTCCCATCCAGGTTCAGTGGCAGTGGATCTGGGACAGATTACTCTTTTACTATCAGCAGCCTGCAGGCTGAAGATTTTGCCACTTATTACTGTATGCAGTATGATGAGCTTCCTCCCACAGTGATACAAGTCATAACACAAACCTCCCAAGGAAGCAGAAGTGAGAGGCTGGGCTGCCCCAGCTGCTCCTCCTTATACGCCTTGGCAGGGTTTCTCTGATGCAACCAGATTCTGAAGATCATTTGAAGATGTTGGTCAAAGTAGCTTGGCAGAATTCTCTCTACTCTAACTCTCTGCAGCAGTATAAACATGCCAATGCCTCTCCTGATTCAATAAATGACACAACTCACAGCATGGGAGGAGTGTGTGAGCATTAATTGAGGTTCATTTGGAAAGTGGAGAAATGCTAATTAATCTAAACAGAAATACATTGTAAGAAATACATTAATTTAGTTTTTAGTCCTCAAAATATTTGTACAGATTTCATCAGGAAATAATGTGCTTTCTTCTTCAATTCTCAATTTAATTTTTTATTTCTTGTTTTATATAATTTGGAGGAAGAGATCCTGTATAACTTTGTAAGTAAAGAAGTGATAGTAACCTTTCAGCATTTAATATCACTGCTAAGAAACAATGTGAAAAATTTCACCACTGAGTATGATATTTGTCATAGATTTTTACATATGCTTTAAACCACTAAAATATTTTCCCATTAGTTCTGTCTTTCTTAGACATGAATAGCTTTTGAATTATCATGAATAGCTGTTGACTTTAAGAAATATTCTCAACTACTGTACTCATATTACCTTGTTTCTGATCTTGTTATTGTGGTGTATTATATGGCTCAACATAGATTATTTTAAAATCACATATTTTAAAATGGCCTTCCATTTGTGTAATATATTTAACTTGCTCAAAAATGGAGTCTGAGAGAAGGAGGAGGAGGTAAACATGGAGGAAGAAATGGAGGAGGAGAATAAGATGAATTTCTCCTTTAATATGACAAATTTTGACTATGTGAGGAAGAGAAAAGACGAAGCTCTCTTCATCGATAATCACAAAGTTAGGGTACAAAGATAATTGTGGAATTGAAATGATACTAATAAAGTTTTATGAAGGTAAATAAAACAGATGGAAAGAAATAACTTGAGCCACCGACAAGATGCGAAGTGCTGCTCCAACTCCACATAGAAATGACCTTGGAGAAAGCATGGCTACCCAATACTCACAGTTTGGAGAAGCAGGAAAATAGAGCCTGGAATCCATGTAGAACAGGACAATGACCATGTTGATTTTCTACTGTGGAGTAGAAAACCTGAATCTAGAGAGATGGATGCTGATATCTGCAAGTAGATGAGATTATTCATTGTGGGGGTCAGAGAAAAAGCCCACTTCTTCTGTTGGCCTTCTGTATTATTGAATTGCACATGTACATGCACACTGTTGTGACCAATAAAGTAATGCTTTTTTGTTTTTTTTGGTGTTTTTGGTTTTGTAATTTTACAGTTACTCCTTCCCTTGCTGATGTACCACTTTCCTCTCCTGCCTCACCTCCAACAAAGTAATGCTTTTTTTACTAATTGTAGTAAAGAGGCAAGAATGGAGCAGAGAAGGAAAAAGAGATTCAAGGAAAGAGAGAAGGAAAAGAAAGAGAGAAAGAAAAGAAAGGAAGAAAGAAAGAAAGAAGGAAAGAAAGAAAGGAAGGAAGGAAGGAAGGAAGGAAGGAAG